GTTCAGGGTTGGATACAAATCATATAGTATAAGGATGACTAACACAGTGTGTTCAGGGTCGGATACAAATCATATAATATAAGGATGACTAACACAGTGTGTTCAGTGTTGGATACAAATCATATAGTAGAAGGATGACTAACACAGTGTGTTCAGTGTTGGATACAAATCATATAGTATAAGGATGACTAACACAGTGTGTTCAGTGTCGGATACAAATCATATAATATAAGGATGACTAACACAGTGTGTTCAGTGTTGAATACAAATCATATAGTAGAAGGATGACTAACACAGTGTGTTCAGGGTCGGATACAAATCATATAATATAAAGATTACTTACACAGTGTGTTCAGGGTCGGATACAAATCATATAATATAAAGATTACTTACACAGTGTGTTCAGGGTCGGATACAACGAAATGTTCCGATTTTTTCTTCGGTGTTAGGAAACTTAAAACGAAAATACAAATTTCTTTAGATATATACATGAAGTAAAATAATATTTTATTAGATAAACAGACGTACAAATAATTTTTCGAGAAGTCTTTACAGAGCCTTCTTTACCTTATGTAATCGCAACGCAACTCAAACAGTTACATTATTAACACCTGCTTGTTCAATGTTAATTTTAACAGGTACAACCTCACAGTCGTCATTCTTATTGATGATTAATATCATTGCCGTAGGTTCTAATCCTACCTGGCCTCAGTTTTCACCGCTTCAGAAAAAAAAAAAATCGCGATTAAAGTCCACGTGACGGTTTTCTAATTTCTTTGGTTTGAGCGACTAGGATATCGATCACAGGTTCAATCGTATCTTAGCTGATTGTGAATAAAAAAATCAAAACACTTCATCGCTCGAAATATGAGATACTTGAAATGAGCTCTCAAAGTTCAATAAACTTCATTTGTAGATCAGAGACTGACCCTAGTGATAGATAGACCTCTGAGCCGAAATCCATCATTTTCTTTCTGAGCAATATAGGATCAGAGACTGACCGCTCAGAAAGAAAATGATGGATTTCGGCTCAGAGGTCTATCTATCACTAGAAAGTATCAGATTCCGTTGGAATGTTTTGGAAACAAAAGGTTTCCCAGAGACATACCTACTTACACATGGATATATATATATATTGTCCTCGTCACTTGTTTCCGTACAAAGTCAGCTGACCACATTACTGCTTTCTATTAGCTTATAGATTAAACTTTTTCTCTCTCTCTTAAAACTCCAATAGAAAGCATTTGCTATAAACAACCAACTGAATTTATCGAAAAGTAAGTTACTAGTACGTAGTGGGCTCGTTCTTTCATTCAAACATGACAGCGTGAGATAGATATGCAGCAGTTATTCTTTCTCTATAGAGATTTTGTTTTTTACTGATTTTTCTGTCACTGGTGTGTAGGAGCTAATGATATATTAGTCATCCCACCCTTCATACATCTGTTCATGTACTTGCAGCTCAGAATGCTTGCACAATACACATTGGACTGTCTAATCTTAATATACGCCTATAAGACTCCATAC